CTTTGAATTCAGAATTAGAATGGGTGGAAAGAATTTAAAAAGTCGGAAGAATCCCTAAAACACCAAGTCACCATTCATGTTTGCCTGACAAAACTGTTTATAGAGTCAAAGTGATTGTGGCAGGTTGTGCAGAAAGAAGGGGGTCAGATGATCATGGAGAAGAGAACAGAGTTTAGAGGGATTTCCATGGTATTTCATCCCCCTTCCTCCTTACAAGTGTCCCATGCTCCCTGGTGCAGGAATTCTTACAAGCAGAATGATGATGAAACCAGCTCCCAACTGCTCATTAAGGAAATAGTAGTGTTAAGTAGTTAGCAAGGGATTCCAGGTCTCCTAGGGATGGAAGTGGCTGCTTTGCCTTGGTGCAATTGTCCCACCTGGGAAGAAGGGCAAGGGTGGGCCTCAGGTCCCCATCTTGGTCCTGCCCGACCTTGATCCTGCACTGAGCTACTGTCATGCCTGGGGGAGGAGGGAACATCCTATGAATCTGCCAATCATAACTTAGCACACAGAATCTGCAGAAGAATGCAGAGGACTCTCTAGCCCATGGGCAAAGCAGCGTAGGTACCATAGAGTCTGGAAATTGACCTAGAACAACTCACGTACATAGTAATGCAACTCCCAACTGTCAGATCAAAGTGGTTCTCTGGTGACATCTGAGCCACTAGGGAGGTCCCAACTGGGCATTATAAAACAAGATGCAAACCATAACCACCCCCTTTTTTCACCTTCCTTTTGCTCTCCCTTAGCTGTGACTTTGGGTCTGGTCATCATCTTTGGGGTATGTATCACACTCTGTAAACTTATATCTTGCTCTTGCCCTACAATCCTGTCTTTCTCTCCTCAATAACCCTCATTTTCATGCTTGCCTTACCTTGGTGCATCTGGTCATTCTTTGGCCATGAGCGTCTTAAGAAACCATCGCTTCAGACAGAAGCCTGACAGTATTAACTATTGCTATTCTTGTCACCAACCTGTTGTTAATGTTTAACTTGAAATTTCATTGTTTGTTTTTATCTAACAAACACTCCTTCCTGTGAACAACACTTTAGTCTGTTTCCTCTGAGTCTTCTTGACTAGGCCCATCCATGGGCTTCCCTCTCTGTCCTTGTAGAATCCAATTTGAGCAAGAATCCTGCTAAGTCAGTTTATTGAAAACCCCCCACCTTTGGTATCTTAACTACACTGGGTATCTTGTCACTCTGGCCTACCTTCAGCAAGAATTCTATCAAGTCAGTTTAGCCAGAAACCCCTCATCCCTGATGTTTCCTCTTAGTAATTTTCCATCTACTGCCCACCACCCTGCTCCTTAGTTACATAATAAGTCCCGAATTGTCCTTGTTGGAGTTGGAGATCTCCAATCTCTCTCCTTCACTGCATGACCCTGTTGCAGTGGTTCCTGTTAATAATACCTATCACTATGGCCTTCCCCTTTGAATAAAGTCTGTCTTCCATCTTTAATAAGTGTCATGAATAATTTTTAAAATATATCTTATGCATTAGTTGGTTTACTATGTATAAACCCCAAGTCTGCATATTTTTCCTACAAGTTTTTTTGGAGGTTTTTCTTTCTCTATTATCCAAGTGGGCAATTACCTCATAATTACTAAATATAGGGGGAAAATCTCAATTCTCTTTTTAGCATGTGACACTATAAACATCTCCAGCATTGGCTCCCAGTTCTCTCTTTTTTTCTTTTTTCTTTTTTGAGATAGGGTCTTGCTCTGTTGCCCTGGCTAGAGTGCAATGGTGTCATCATAGCTCACTGAAGCCTCAAACTCCTGGCCTCAAGCGATCCTCCTGCCTCAGCCTCCCGAGTAGCTGAGACTACAGGTGCACACCACCACACCCTGCTAATTTTTTCCATTTTTTAGTAGAGACAAGGGTCTCACTCTTGCTCAGGCTGGTCTCAAACTCCTGACCTCAAGCAATCGTCCCACCTCGGGATCCCAGAGTGGTAGGATTATAGGCATGAGCCACTACACCCAGCCAGTTCTCTCATATTTGTTGAGTGCTCTTTCTTGTGTTTTTTCTCTGGGTCCTCTTCCTACCTCTTATTGCAGTTATTTACTTAGATTTATCTGTAGATATGTATTCACTTTTTTTCTCTGATTGATCTCATTCATTCTTATGGCTGCTCTTGCCCTCTAGAAAAGTCCTCAAACACCAGTCCATGGACCAGTTGCATCAGAATCAATCAGGGCACTTGTTAAAAATACAGCTTCCCAGGGGGGATTGGGATTGAAACTTCTGGGATTCAGGATTTTAACATAATTTTATGGAAAAAAAAATCACATTTAAGGATCTCCAAGGGAGAAGATAGTTTGGTTATTGGTGTTCTAGGAGATGCTGCCACTACTTACATTTATTTCTTTAGTTAATCCTGAGGGTTTCCTGAACTCTAGACCTCTTATTCTAACAGATTGCTGGTCACGACAGCTAGACAGCCCTCTGTCAACTCATCCCAAACGTGCTGGAACTATGTATGCTACCTGTGTTTCATGACACTATTTATACTCACCACATACAGCCATCCAGGTGAGAAATCTGTTACCTGTAACTTTTCTCCTTTCTCACCTCTACATCTAATGGATGACATACTCCAGCTGGATGGGTTTGTGAATATCATCTTAATCTACCTGGTTTTTCACTTATTGCAGTATGACCATCTACTTCACACCTTCGTCTCTCAAAATATTGTAATAGTTTTTAGACTTTTCTGACATTCCAATTCTCTTGTCTCTAATCTGTCCACTACATTTCCACATGAGTCATCATTCTAGGGCAGCACTGTCTTGTAGAACTTTCTACAATGATGGAAATGCTCTATATCTGTATTGTCCAGTGTGGTAGCCCCTACCTCCATGTGGCTATTGAGAACTTCAAATGTGGTCAGTGTAAGTGGAGAACTGAATTTTAAATATAATTGAATTGAAATCGATAGAGTCATTTGAATCTAGAGGCTACCATATTGAACATCATGGTTCTAAAATATGGGCCTATTTACATATTCCTATTGCGTTGTTTTCAGAAAGCTTAGTACCTGTTGAATAAAGTCTAGAGTCGGTGATATGACATTGAATGACCTTCATAATCCAGCCTCCTTTTCAGTTTCTACCACAACCACCACCCCATCCCAATTCCACATGTACTCTAGCGCTGTAGAACCTTGCTTTTCCTAAACAAGCCATAGTTTTAGATGCCCCAGCTTTTGATACTGCTCTTTTCTCTATCTAGAATGGCCTTCCTTTAATTCTTTTCAAAATTTAACCCATTTTTCAAGGTCTAATAAGGAAAGCCCTTTCCCTACCCCTAGATGAAGGAACATCTCCCTATTACTGACCTTGGACAAGCCATTTAGCATGTCTCAGCCCAGTTTTCTCAAATGTAAAGTGGGAATGATAACATTTTCTCTTTTACAGAATTGTTGGGAGATTATATACTGCATTATTCAGCCTCTCCCACTGAGAAACATGTAATAAAAACAGCTGTTATTTTCTGTCCTCCTGTAACATTTATTATGTGGTATTAGAGATCTTTCCAGATGAGATTCTCTCTCCTTAAGACTGTGAGCTTGTTAACAGAAAAGCTTCCTGTTCACTGCTGTCCTCCAGCATCTGGCACATTGTAGTCATTTGACAAATGCCTTGGCTGGGTGGCAAATAAATAAATAACTGTTTGAGTCAATTACTTGCATAGGATGTCACATAATTTTTTTTCAAGTATGCTTTTTTGTGTGTGTATCTTTAGGGAGGAGTAAAAAAAGACATATAATTGCAGCAAGAATGAGAAAAAAAAGGATGCCAGCAACTTTTCTTTTTAAGCATCAAATCTTTCTTACTGCTGCCCAGAAAAACTGGCATAAGCCTGTTAAATCTGTTCTTCTTCTTGCTTGACTGGAGTATAAGCTCTAACATTTTGTTATTTTGACTTTCCTTTCTGGGCCCCCTGGGTCCTCTGCCCCTCCCCCAATGGGTACTAAGCTTTCATCACTGTCACCAAGGCAACAGCAGGGATGCCTCATTCCTTTCAGCTCTGCATAGCTAAACTCTAGTCGCCTTTGTCCACTGAGCTAGCTGAATTCTTTATATGTACACCACTAAATCAACTATCTTGTATACAGAACTTTGCCCATTTTTCTACCCTTAAAAAAAAAAACAAACAGATGTATAACAATTTCTTCTTCTGGGAACGTCCTTTTTCCAGACCCATCAATACTCTTGAATGCACCGGACATTTTTGGTCCCTAGGAGCTAATATAAAAATTGCCAGTGTAGCCTTTGTAAGTCTGTCCAATATAAATGCGGGTCAATTTTAAGTACACAACAGAGCATTCATAATGGATTTCCCTTCTAAAAGCACAGTAGACCAAAAATAAACCTGACAAAGGGCAGCTGTAGAGTTTTAACATGTGGAAAACTCCACAGGCAGTTATGTAACTGGAAAGAAACATGATAAATATTTCACACCGTGAGATGAACTTCCAACTCTGAGACTTGAAAAAGCAAAGACGCAAAACACACACCTTAAATCGCCAAGGAGCAAAAAGCTTAAATGGAGGGGGGGAAATGGGCATTTATTGAAACCTTAAAATCTGTACCCCCATAATATGCCAAAATAAAAAAAAAAAAAAAAAAAAAAAAAAAAAAAAAAAAAAAAAGCTTAAATGGAGAAGAGACCAAGGCTGTCGCTAAAATCTGAGACCTGACTTCCAGCACGAGTCTTGGTTGCTTTTTTTAAAAAATATTTTTTAATTTTTTTTTTCTCGAGTCCGAGGTGGAGTCCGCAAACCCCATCTCCTCGGAGCACCCCCCACCACCACCTTCAGCTTCGCCCCTTGGGCAGAAATTTTCCAAAAATCTCCACGCTTAGGCTGAAAAGCCAAAAGAACTTTTGAGCCAAGGAGGGGAAGAAAGGAGTTGGGGCAAAGCAGGAGGCGTTTCCCCAGCCATACACACCACCATCCCGCGCGCACCCGCCCCCGGGCTCCGCGCCCTGGGGACAGCTGGCAGCCCCGCGCCAGACCAGACACAAAGCCGATCAATCCCCGCGGTGGCGCGGGGGCGGGGGACGCCCCGCCAGGGCTGTCCCTTCCGCTGCTCGCCTCCTGCTGCCCCCTCGCTAGGACCCCGCGGACACCTCGTCCGGCTTCCACGCCCTCCCCTTCTCACCCCAACCACCCCAAGGAGCAGCCCGGAGTTCCCCCAGCCCAGGGCAGGAAGACCTGCCCTCGGCACCCCGCTGGGAAGGCGCCCCGGGGAGCGGGAAACTGACATCCCGCCGGGACCCGCCCTCCCTTCTTGGACTAGACTCGCTCCCCCGCCCCCGCCCCCGCCCCAGAAGTTGGGGGCCCCCACCCGGCCTCCCGCGCTCCGCAGCCGGGACCCTCGACCTCGGCGGAGCGGCCGCCCGGCGCGGGGAAGATGGCGAGGAGGAGCCGCCACCGCCTCCTCCTGCTGCTGCTGCGCTACCTGGTGGTCGCCCTGGGCTGTAAGTCGCTCCGGTACCTCTCTGCCCCGCCACCCGCTTGCTGCTCGGAGCAGCCTCCCCAGACCCTCCGCCCCGCAGCGTGGCGCTCCGCTGCTGCGGGTCCGGGCGGGCGGCCGACCCTGCACCCCGCGAGCCGGGAACCTGGGGTGCGGGCGGGTGCGGACGCGGGGCGCGGGGAGCCGGGGAGGGCTCGGGTTTGTTTCTTGCCGGTATAGCGCCTGGTTTTGTCAATTTCACTTAGAGAAAACGAAGAGTTCCGCACTAGCCGGTTCTCAGCTGCTAGCAAAGTTGGGGTTAAGTTTCCAAAGACGCGGGGGCGCGATTGGAACGCAGAGCGGACGGCTCGGGAGATGCCGAGACCCCGAGAGAGACGGCCTCGCCCCGAGGGGGCCCGGCCTCGCTTTAGGGTCCCGGGGAGGGAGGGCGCCCTGTCTGCGAGGTCTCGGCTTCCTAGCGTCCCGGCCGCGCGGGGCACCTGCGCGGCGCCCGCGGGGGCGTTCGTGGCTGCTGAGCCAGAATTACACTCATCCCCTCCACCTGCGCATCTACATTCAGCTCGAGCAGTCCGGCCCGGCGACTCTGGCCAGCTGCTGTGTCCCCAGCGGACGTCCAGCGGGACGATGGTTAGAAAGGATGCAGGAGCCCAGGGATCCAGCCGTCCCAAAGCCAATTTCACGGGATGATTTTAAACAGGATTTTCACAGCTTCTGGGCTCATGGGATTTAAAATCCTGGGAACGTTTCCTTTTGTTTTTTTCTTCGCGTTAACTTTTTAGGAAAAAGGAAGAAATTACAATAGACCTTCAGCAATGAAGTCTAGCTTTTGCTTTTTCTTTCAGTTCCCCCTTTTCTTCCCATTTTTCTTCAGTTCCTTCTTCTCCTCTTTCCTTTACTTTTTTTCCTTTGGTGTGAAATGAGTTGTTATTGTTGCTATTCAAGTTCTGGTAATAGAATACTTATAATACTTAAAATAACCTGGTGGATGAGTGTCAAGTACCGCAGTACGGTGATAGTTTCTCAAGCTCTCCATGCCCAAGCGAGGCGAGCCGTGTCCGTTTGTGGGGGAGTAAGGTGCAAGTTGTCTCCGGGAAGGGACATGTGCCGACCTATATTATAGCAGATCAAACTAGGAAGGCAAAATTTCACAAATAAAACCCTTATGCAATTTTGAAATAACAATTTGTATCATACTGACCACACAGAAAAAATGAAGAGTGGTGAAAAGTAACAAAGAGGCAGGTTGAAGGAATTGTAACAAAACTGCTGAGAAAGTTATGTAGTCCACTGAAATCCTCAATTTCAAATAAAAAAGACTGTGACTTTTGGTGTAGATTTGTCACTAATGGAAAACAGAGAAAATTGTTTTATTCTGCTATTTAGTCATCAAAATAGAACCAATACTTTCTTAGTTTGAAAGTGTAGCAGAGAAATAACTAAGAGACAAAGGCTTAGGTGAATAAACCGAATACCCTCTTCTTCAAACTTTGTGTTAATATAACACAGTGGCTCTATTAACCCTGATTCCTATAGGGCAACAGTCTCCAACCTTTTTGGCACCAGGGACTGGTTTTGTGTAAGAGAATTTTTGCGCAGACCCTAGGGGCCAGGTGGCAGGGATGGTTTCAGGATAATTCCAGTGCATTACATTTATTGGGTACTTTATTTCTCTTATTATTATATTGTAGTATGTAATTAAATAATTATGCAATTCACCATAATGCAGAATCAGGGGGAGCCCCGAGCTTGTTTTCTTGCAACTGAAAGTTCCCATCTGGGGTGATGGGACACAGTGACACCTGAAGTGTGTTGCTTATGTCCAGTCTACTCCATAATCTCATTTTGGCTGCTGTCACTGCAGAAAACCCTGCTTCACAAAGACACGGCGTGGGGAATGGAAGCAGGCTTTTCAGTGCTTTTGTGGCAATCTCAAGATTTTCCACCTTGACTTTAAGTCCAGAACATATGGAGATTTCAAGTTGTCTCAAACATACTTTTAAGGCCACCATTCTTTGTGATCTAAGGCAGTTGATACTCTTCTAGCATGGACAAAGTCGATTCACCTGGCTTAGTCACAAATGGGTATAACATCCATTCCTTCCTAGTTTGGGGTCTTTGTGGTTGGGAGGTAAAGCTCAAACTCTTTTGAAAGCTGAGACAGGTGATCATGCACCAGGTGGGAGAAAGAAGGCCCTGGCTCAGTCTCTTTCAAAATCTCTGCTAATGTTTGAAACATGCCAAAAATCCCAATATTCACTCATTGCCCCCATAATTCCAGTTTGGCTTTGAATGCCGCCACTTTATCTGCTGACTTGAACACAGTTGTCATTCTCCCCTGAAGTGACAGATTGAGTTCATTGAGCAGGTTGAATATGTCATACAAGTAAGCAAGTTTTGTGACCCTTTCTGTGTCACTGAACTATACTGCCAATGGTGACTGTTTTCTGAAAAGAAATCTTTGGAGCAACTCTCATAACTCAAAAACTCTGGCTGGTGATCTACCTTTAGAAAGCCATCTCACTTCTATGTATAAGGGAAGTCATATGTGCTCTGTGTCCATCTCCTCACAGAGCTGTGTGAACAGATTTGAGTTAAGGGCATGTATCAGTTCATTAAATAGGAAATGCCTTATTGCAAATCAAAAGTTTATTTTGTTATAACTCAAACAAGAAGCAGTACAATTAATCAAAGTGTGTGCACAAACTATTGACACGGTTTTGCCATCTTAAAGGTAGCTTGTATATGCCAGCAACAAAGAAGCCTGGAGAGCAAGTGGTCATAAAATCACAAAAGGTGTTTTCCACAGTTTGTTGATAATTGAATATTTTTCATTGCAAGAAGTGGTCCAAAGCCTGGAAGAAGTGGTAGTCAGTTGGTGCAAGGTCTGGTGAATATGGTGGATGACAGAAAGTTTCTAAGTCCAGCCTCTGTAGTTTGAGCAGTGTTGTTTGTGCGACATGTGGTTGAGAGTTGTCTTGGAAGAGGATTGGCCTGTCTCTAGTAACCAATCTAGGTTGCTCCATCCTTCCCAAATACTTGGTTGATATTTTGAGCTGTCTGCTCTGCATTGGTTCCACGACAGAACTCATATTAAAAAATAACATGAACTTTTGACTTATCCATGGTTTCATAAAAATTGCTATAAAAGATAATTTGAAAGATAATCACAAGCCAAAAATGTGTGTTTGAAAGAATGAGGATGTGCCTTCATAATAAAAATAAAACAAATGTCAAAATGAAATACCAGAGATAGAAACTATCTAATTTAGTACTTAAGGAAATCGGACATTTCATGCTTAATAACCTAATACTTTTATGTGGTTGATAATTTTAATCACATCCTGCAAAATGTTGTTTAGTTCAGGTGACATTTTTTTGCTAGCCACCATTTCCGTATAGATAACGCAGTACATAGACTCTCATTAGGAATCAACCTCCTAGGCCTGGCGTGGTGGCTCCCGCCTGTAATCCTAGCACTCTGGGAGGCCGAGGTGGGCAGATCATTTGAGCTCATGAATTCCAGACCAGCCTGAGCAAGAGCAAGACCCCGTCTCTACTAAAAAAATAGAAAGAAATTAGCTGGATTATATATATATTAGCTGGGCATGGTGGCACACGTCTGTAGCCCCAACTACTCAGGAGGCTGAGGCAGTAGGATTGCTTGAGCCCAGGAGTTCGAGGTTGCTGTGAGCTAGGCTGACTCCATGGCACTCTAGCCTGGACAACAGTCTAAGACTGTGTCACAAAAAAAAGAAAAATAGAATCGACCTGTTTGACCCAAGTACCCAGAAAGCAGTCTAGTCATGGCAGCCACTCTGTCCATGCATATACTGACACAAAATGATCAATTCAGTTTTCCTGACATGTAATCATGCAGAGACTTACCTGAATAGTTCTGCAGCTGTGGTGTTGGTTGGCAACAAAGGTGCACGTAACATATCCTCATGCACATCCTTCTGAAAAACATATCACACAAAACAAGCATTGGTGCCTTGTTGTCAACATTGGTAGACTCGTCAACCCGGATTGTGGACCACAGTGACTCATTAATCCTCTCTAACAGTTGTGCCTCAATATCCTCTGCTGTTTTATCAATTTATCTACACAGGTTTGAGGAGTACTAGTCAAGTGTTTTGTAGAATGTCCCTCAATTTTTATTTCTCAGATTTTTTTTTTCATGACAATACTGGTGTTCTGGTTTTTTTGGAGGAAGATCATAGAGGTAAAAATGTCATTTTCATCACAGTACATCCAGAGAACGTACGATAAACTTGACTTACCTGTTGATGTTAACCTTGATCACCTGGCTGAGATAGTGTAGTGTATGTCGGGTTTCTCCACAGGTTATCTATTCATTTTTTTTTCAATTCTATATTTTTTGGAAGGAAGTCACTATGTATAACCGTCTTGATAACCCTTTAAAAGAGGCAAGATGTCCATTCCTTGAGAGTAGCGAATCTTTATAAATTATTTATCTGCATGGGAGATGTGTCTCTCCCCCACTCATTTATTTAATTTTACTGCTCATATGTTATATCGTATGAGTCGAATATTTTTTTGTAATTGTTAATCCAATGTTTATTTATAAGTTAGTAGATCTATGCTTAATTATAATCATCTTTGTTTGTTTGTTGTTGGTTCATGTTTTGAGATGAGTCTCACTTGTTGCCTGCCCAGAGTGAGTAGGTGTCACATACTCCACTGAACTTCAAATTCGTATGCTCAAGCTCTCTGTCCTAGCCTCTAGTAACTGGATATAGGCGCCATACACGATACCCGTATTTGTTGTTTGTTTATCTTTAGTAGAGACAGGCTATTATTTGCTCGCTTCGTCTGATGCGTGCTCAAGTGATCTCTGCTGGCTTCATAAGGTTAGGTTATAGCATGGCACCACTCTGCGCCTCATAATCATCTTCCAAGTATTCTCTCAATATAATTGTATCTTTGTTTACATCCTCCATGTAAAAATGTGCTTATTTATTGTTCTTATTTTTGCGTACTTGA